ATCTGAGCATCTTTAAGGCAGTGTTCATACTTAGAAATTAACACCTGGCACAGACTACTTGTTAAATAACTGGCAAATGTATTCAGGAACCCATGATCTGCCTGCCTTGAACGACCTGGGGCAGGGAAATTTTCCCATGTTAATAATTCTCAAATGCTAAAGTTACTTTCTGAGTAAGGAGAGTGACAATTTTTTTTGGAGTCTTACGCTGTTGCCTTGAATAGAGTGCCGTGGCATCAGCGTAGCTCACAGCAACCTCAGAGTCTTGGTCTCAAGAGATCCTCTTGCCTCAGCCTTCAAGTAGCTGGGACTACAAGCATGCCCCACCACCAAGCCCAGCTACTTTTTTCTATTTTTTAGTAGAGATGTGGTCTTGCTCAGGCTGGTCTTGAACTCCTGAACTCAAGCAATCTACCTGCCTCGGCCTCCCAGAGTACAGGGATTGCAGGTGTGCGCCACTGCGTGTGGCCAAGAGCAACAATTCTTAATACTTATACTAACCCAAACTATAATAAAAATCTCAATTTATGAAAACGATGGGGCTTTTAGATATTTTTTAGCCAATTTAATTTTAGCTTTATAGTCACCCTTGCTTTATTTTCTGTTCTAGAATACAATGTCTAAAAGAGATTTCTTGATGACTCAATCTTTCAATGACTCAGGGTCACAATTTTACATCAGGAGTTCAAGATCAGACTGAGCACGAGCAAGACCCCATCTCTATAAAAATAGAAAAACTAACCATATGTGGTGGCTGGTGCTTATAGTGCCAGCTACTTAGGAGACTGAGGCAAGAGGCACTCTTGAGCGCTCGAGTTTGAGGTTGCTGTGAGCTGTGATGACACCAAGGCATCCTAGCCTGGGGGACAAAGTGAGACTCCGTCTCAAAAACAAAACAAACATAAAAAGACAAGCCACAGACTAGGGACAAATATTTGCAAGACACATATTCAATAAAGGACTTTTATCTAATCAGGTGTCCTCAAACTACGACCCTCCAAGGACATTTATCCGGCCCGCTGGGTGTTTTTGCCACTGCTGCCTGTCCTGCTTAGCAGCCGACTCATCCCAGGGCCCGCAGTCCAGACCTCAACGGTCTGAGGGACAGTGAACTGGCCCCCTGTTTTAAAAGTTTGAGGACCCCTGATCTAAATACACACAGATTCTCTCAACTCAATACTCTAATAATAACCACACACACAAAAACCATGGAGATGAGATTAGACATCTCTACAAGGAAAATATAAGGATGGAAATAAGGACCGGAAAACACGTTCAAGGTCATTAGGGAACTATAAATAAGAAAATCACAGTGAGACATCACCACACACATGCTACAATGGCTCTCGGAAAGAGACTCATGACATCAGACGCTGGTAAACACATGAAACAAACCTTCACAAGTGGCTGGTGGGAATGCAAAATTGTGTGGCCACTGCGGAAAAATCTGGCCGTTTCTTAAAAGGGTAAACATTTTTCAACCATACATCCCAGAATCCCACCTCTAGGTATTTATCCAAGATAAGTGAAAATATGTCTATAAAAAAAGATCCATATGTGAATGTTTACAGCAGCTTTATTCATAATAGCCCAAACCCAGAATCAATCCAAATATCAAGTGGTGAATGGATACACTGGCACACATATAAAATGTGATACCACTCAGTGACAAACTGGTATCAACTACTTACAGCACACAACACAGAGGACCCTCAAATGCATTATGCTAAGTTGAAAGAGCCAGGCACAAAAGGACGTGTATCATATGATCTCATTTTTATGACATTCTGAAAAACACAGAATTACAGAGATATAAAATCAGACCATCAGTTGTGCCTATGTGGGACTAGGGGGAGGGAACCGAGTATAAAGAGAAAGAAGGAAAGGTTTTGGGGTGCTGGAAAATTCTCTTACTTAACTGTAAGAGGCACTGCTTACAGGACTGTATACATTTGCAAAAATTCAAACTGTGGGCTTAAAAAAAGTGAACTTGATCATAGGCTTATTATACCACAGTAAACTTGACAAAGTATAGCTCTTTCAAGTTAATACGTGAACCAGGCGTTACTAACCCTTTCCTCCTTGTTACGCCAGCTCTAAGACTCAGGCATCGAGACGGCGACTTCTGTGGAAGTGGGGGGCAGCCAGAGAAGGTAGAAACACAGTGGCCTTAAGGGGTAGGGGAGAATGAGCAGCAGAAAGAGGGCAAGGATGGGAGGACGTTTGTCAGGGGAATTTACCGTTAAAAGCTACAGAAGAGAATTCATCTTATAGACATTTTCAACAAGCCCAGTATGGCTTCTTGTTTGCTGTAATATAAAAACATTGCTGTAATTTTCCATACCAAAAGCTGGAGACGACTCAAATCCATTATTAAGGAAACGGCTACCGTCCTCACAGGTATCCAGGTGTGTGCTTCTATGCAGGGGTTTAAAACACCAAGGTAGCACGAAGGGTGAATAATGGGACTGAAGGATACTCGTGATTATCTTGTTGAATAATATAAAATAAATAATAAAGAAAGGTCTCAGAATGGCACATATTCTGTTAGAAAATAACAAGACAACATACTCTTGTTTGCCTAAGGTCTGGAACATGCACAGGGAGGAATGTTTGGCTGAATGATGTTTGTGAGAGGTGCAGAAAAGCAACAAGTGCATTTATTCTACTTTTAAATTTTGTACAGTTCTCGTATTTTTTTGTCCCCAATAACCGCATATTATTTTTGTGATAAAAATGGGTAAAAACAGAGGGACGCTAAGGCGGCAGCGGTTGAGCGTGGCCTAGGCTTGGAGGTGATGCAGAGAAGGAAAAACTTCAGATGTCGTGCTGCCATCTGCTGGACGAATCAAGAAGCTACAGAACAGAAACGTCATGTTAAGTAGAAGACAGTCAAAGGTAAGCCATCCCCGGCTGGTTACTTACTGCAGGAAAACAGACAGGGTAGCAGAAGGACGGTTTTGAGGTCAAGTGTTTGATTTAACCATTAATGAAAAGAAACTGAAAAGACAAGCAAGCATGATCAGACAGACATGATTAACTTCCCACGAATCTCGGACAAATGAAAGCTGGGGGATAGAACTCTAAATCGCTTGGATTTTTCAGATCTGCTCTTTTAAGGAAGAAGATCTGTGTATTATGTACGATCAACCAGCAAAATATTTATAACGGAACATTTGGAAACTAACAGAACTTGTAAAGTTTGTAATTTTAACTATTGCTAGAAAATGAGAATGATTTTGCATCTGAAAAAAACCAGGTCAAAAATCACAGATCAGGTTTCCCTCAATCTCATTAGTGCTTTTTGAGAAATCAAACAAAGCACGTGAAACTCTAAAAATTCAAATACAGTTGAGATCACCTATCATTAGACAGTAAAAAGGTGAAAAATCATGATCCATAGTTCTTAGCTGTCTTGTTAAAGAAATGCACAAATTAAAAAACAAAAACCTCCAAACAGCTTGAGCTTCTGAAAGGTTTTTTTCTTTTTTTTTTTTTTTAAGAAGAAAATTCCCCAAACCAAAAAGTTTCAGAAGCAGCTAATTAGATTTTTTAGTTTGTTTTTAATGGCACTGACATGCCAACCACACCAAACTGTAACTATACATGGGGAAAAAAGTCCATTAATAATTTACATGGAATGATAAAAGTATTTTTAAAACAATCCACCCTTGAGCAGAAGAAATCGGGGATCACTTTGAGTGTTAATGTAAAATACATTAGTCTTTAGCAGCAGGAGTTCCAGACGTGCCGGTGCCAAGAAGGTAACAAATAGTCTCTATCTAAAGAGGGGAAATGGGCGCTCAGCGGGAGCTTTCTTCCCCGGTGTGTTATTTATAGAGAGCTCTATTTGTTAACATGTTTCTGCTATCATGAGAGGGAAAGTTTAATGATTTAAAGGATTTCCAAGACAATTGTTTAATGATATAATGATTTATACACATTCACGAAATCCCAACATATAGCGATTTAGATTTTCAAACGGCGATCACCAAAACAGCCATTGGAGATCCTGCAAAAACTTAACCAGAGAAACCCAGACAAGGAAGGGACAGTACCGGACCCGACGAAATAAAAAGCTAGAACCGCTTAGAAGCCAGGCTGTTAAATCAGTGACCTGCCCGGCTTCACATTAGTAAACTAATTTTTTAGGGTCTCTTTAAGTGAGTTTCTGGTTTTCACGTTTTTGTGGAAGATCGTGAATTAAATCCTAAATTGCCTGTGACTAATCAGAATTATCTGGGAGGCCAACCTTTAACCAAACTGTTATATTTTTGCCCCAAAACCAACTCTTCCATACACAGCCAACAAAGCATACAGGAATATTTTTTTTTGAAGGAAAAAAATGGCCTCACATTAAAATTGCACGTTCATTTAGAAGGACAGATTTATAAAATTTTGTTTATTGACATAATTTTCTGAAATCTCATGTTCAGAATTTAACTATTAAAATGAAAAAATGTCGTTTGAGACGGATAAAGCAAGTCATCAAAAATTGTCTTTAAATTTAACCAAAAAGAAAACGAGTTTCATAATTTCCATTTCCCCTAGTTGTCAGAAAAAAATTAACCAGTTTTTTGTGCCATATTTCATAAGAAATACACATCTGACTCCACTTTTTAAAAATGTATATTACCTTCAATTTTCATAAAGTTCTACTAATTCTATCGATTTGGTTTTTGTACAAATCAAAAAACCCCTCAACCCTCTGATCCAGATAAAATCAGTCCATTCTAAAAGATGCTTTTACAACAGTGTTTCAACTTTCAGTGATAAACATGGATTTAGATGGATAGGTCCTTAAGAAAATAGAACTCTATAAAAATTCAGAAACCATGTTAGGTCTAGAAACAATCACTTCAGCCAAAGGGTAATAAAGCATTTGCTTTCTGGAGGACAAGGGTGTATTTCATAGAATATTTTCTTTTTGAACGATGGAGACATTTATTTCTGCTTAAAAGTAGGTTCAACTCAAATGATCTGATTTTTGGAAACTTTTGTTTAATGAATTTCAAACTTTTAAAACATTGAAGTTGAACAAAGGGTGGAAGCTAGATGAATCTTTCCAGCACGGGTGTTACCTTCTCTCTCCCCAAATGCCAGGTAGGAAGGGTCAATTCCTGCTGGGGTCTCCGCTCTGAGCAAAGTCCATTAGAGAGCTTCCCTCCTTTGCACAGACAGAGGTTCTTCTTCTGCAGCGTTTTGACTGGGTGGAGGTTTTAGCATTTTCAAGTGTAGAAGTACAGAAGCTCTTCCTCCTCTTACCAGGTAAAGCAGAGGAATCAGCTGCAGGGCCCTGGATAGTTTCTGTATCGGAGAAAGAAGGTGCCAGGCACGGTTTCTGACTGGAGGGCACGGTGCCTTTTCCGGGAGACAGACTTTCACATCCTGTGCTGTCCAATGTACATATTGTTCTCCTCTTGGTATTTTGGGAAGGGGCAGGAAATGGAAGTGGAATCCACACAAGCCCCTCGTTCTCTGAATCCTTCTGCAACCTTGTGCTCCGTCGTACTCTGGTTTCGCTTTTTGTTCTCTCGAAGGTCTGCTCGATGGCATCAGATAAATCTTTATACAGTTGAGAATTTTCTATACTAATTTCTGCAGAGCTGCCCGCGTGGTGGGAAGGTCTGGGAGTTGCGTTTTCTTCCCCCTGTAAACCCTGAGCGTCGGAATGACACGAAGAGTACCTTCTGTGTTTCCTTTCTCTACAATTCCTAAGGCTGCTGCTTTGTGCACATTTGCTTCCCAAATCCTCCTTTTGGCTTTTAGATTCTTTCTTACGTTCAGGGAGGGCATCTTCTACACGATTCGATTCTTTTTGTGTGTCAGACAGGAAGCTTCTGTGCTGAAGTCTCCCCTCCACAGCTACTAAGCAGTCATCCTGTTTTTCACACTTTAAATCTTCCCACATTTTCAACCTTTGACAAAGGGTTTCCTCGTTTTGACCAGCGGCAGCAAATTCTTGACCCTGTGTGATAAAATCAAGTTCTGGATCATCTGATGCAGCCTGTTCTTCAGTCCCAGACACACAAGGAATGTGAGTCTCAGTCCCAGTTTTTGGCTCAGTTTTACTTTCCAACGTATTTTCTGCTTTGGGGATATTTTTATTTTCATCATTTATATTTGGACTTTCATCAGAAGGAGCGTTATCAAGTAAGGAAGACCTTTCAATGGAAGAGCAGAATTCAGAAACAACATGTTTACCAAAGCCTTGATTCAGATGCAAATCTTCCAGGTTCTGAGGCAAAAGACTGATTCTTCTAACCGGATGTTTAGGCATCTTCACTTCTTCAAGTTTATCATTTGAGTTGAAATCATCTATGACATAGATATACAAGTAAATTGAAGTCCAATTAAAATTTAACAATGGAAATAAACTTTACTTTTAAATAAATAAACAGGAGCCCTGTTCTGTTGTTTTAAGCTTTGAAAGTCACAAGACATGTTATTACACGGTCCTTGTCCCCATCTGTCACCCTCCTCCTCTCTTAGCTGTTCTCCAACCCACAGGTTAAGAAAATAGGTATTTAATGCTTGAATTAGTGAGCACATAACCACAGACCATGAGAAGGAGAAGAGTGTCTACAATCGCTTTCTCCATTCTAACACTGCACGTTACAAGCTTTTAATGTGAGGCCACATCTCCCATTTCCCTGAAAACGGGCAACTTTGGTATCACTGTATCTACTGAAACAGAACAGAGGAATTTAGGATTTGGAGTAATTTAAGGGCTTAGTAGCTACGAGGGCACGCCTGACGACACTCAGGTCTCATGCCCTCAGTTAAAAATTACTATAAAGTGCACTGTCCTCTCAAGTATAACCACGTTTCAATATTCTAAAAACCTATCCCTTATTCCTCAATCTTTGATTAAACTGCATCCTCTGGGAAGACAGCCTAGAGCCTTTCATTTGCTTCTGACATATCAGAGGTGGAAAAAAAACATCCTCAACTCCGGGTTTTTCAGACTGGTAGTAACACAGCGCAGATGAACACAGGCGTTACGAATTCTCTGCCTGTGCTATTAGATGCCATCGCTTTTGTTACCTCAGATAATCATGGTTTTACGTGGCCAGTCAAATGGCTATTGAAAAGTATTTCAACAAAATAGAAAGGAAAAATATACAAATATAAAGTTTCAATTTGAAAACATATCCATGATTAGGTTACTTAAAATCATGCACTTTACGTAAAGCCAGAGGTTAAGGCTGGTTAGGTACACTTAGGGACAACCAAGGTATCTTTATACTTTTATACAGCTTTAAAAACTGGGCTTTTTAAACAGCTCTAGAAATTGGCATTTATGTATTTTCTGGTAAAATTCATCATATTAGGGAAGGTAAAGGAGAGCCAGGGAAGGTGTTCAGAAAGGAGAGGGAGAAAGGAAGTAACTAAATTGATTTTTTTTTTTTGAGACAGAGTCGCATTATGTCACCCTCAGTAGAGTGCCCTGGTGTCACAGCTCATAGCAACCTCAAGCTCTTGGGCTTAAGCAATTCTCTTGTCTCAGCCTCCCAAGTAGCTGAACTATATACAGGTGCCCACTACAACGCCCAGATATTTTTTTTGTAGTTGTCGTTGTTGTTTAGCAGGCCTGGCCTGGTATAGCAGCCACGCATGTATGTGGCTGGTGCCCTAGCCACTGAGCTATGGGCACAGAGCCACTAACTAAATTGCTTTAAACCATTAGGTTGTTCTCAACCTTCCTAATGCTGTGACCTGTTAATACAGTTCCTGATGTTGTGGTAACCCCCAAACATAAAATTATTTTCACTGCTACTTGAAATAATAATTATTCAACATGAGGAACTGTATTAAAGGGTTGCAGAATTAGGAAGGCTGCGAATCACTGCTTTAAACTCAAGTAGCAGGTAATACCAGTGCTTAGGTAAAAAAAAAAAGCCCGCTCCAGACAATTTTTTTTAAGAGATAGAGTCTCACTTTATCGTCCTTGGTAGAATGCTGTGGCGTCACAGCTCACAGCAACCTCCAGCTCCTGGGGTTAGGCAATTCTCTTGCCTCAGCCTCCTGAATAGCTGGGACTACAGGTGCCCGCCACAACGCCTGGCTAGTTTTTTGTTGTAGTTTGGCCAGGGCCGGATTTGAACCTACCACCCTTGGTATATGGGGCCTGTGCCCTACCCACTGAGCCACGGGCGCGACCCTTTTTAAAAAGATATTTTTAAAAAGAAATTCTCTAATCAGATGCAAGATATGAAATTATACCAATTGGCCAGGCAGGAGGAAGTGGTAGCTTATGCCTGTAATCCTAGCACTCTGGGAGGCAGAGCTAAGTGGATTGCTTGAGCTCAGGAAGGAATTCAAGACCAGCCTGAGCAAGAGGAAGACCGTCTCTTCTGCTAAATATAAAAAACCAGCTGGGCGCTGTCGGGTGTCTATAGTCCCAGCTACTTGGGAGGCTGAGGTAAGAGGATCACCTGAGCCCAGGAGTTGGAGGTTGCTGTGAGCTGTGATATCATAGCACTCTACTCAGGGCCACTGAGTGAGACTCTGTCTCTGAAGAAAAAAAAAAAAGAAAGAAAATTATACCAATAGTTAATTGTTTAATCATCTTTTTAAAAACTCTCTTTAGGAGCTAGGGACATAAAAAGACTTAGTTTCCATTCTCCAGGAGACTGTAATTTTGGGTGTGGGAGTGAATACAGGAATGAGATAATCGCAAAACCAGGTGATAAGAGTGCATTGAAAAAGCCAAGAGTTGGCTCAGCGCCTGTGGCTCAAGCAGCTAAGGCACCAGCCACATACAACTAAGCTGGCGGGTTCGAATCCAGCCCGGGCCCGCCAAACAACAATGATGGCTGCAACCAGAAAAGAGCCGAGTGTTGTGGCGGGCGTCTGTAGTCCCAGCTACTTGGGAGGCTGAAGCAGGAGAATCCCTTGAGCCCAGGAGTTGGAGGTTGCTGTGAGCTGTGTGATGCCACGGCACTCTACCCAGGTGATAGTTTGAAGCTGTGTCTCAAAAAAAAAAAAAAAAAAAAGCCAAGAGTCTCCAGCGGCATGGACGGCATTTGTCCTTGAGCCTCTTATTAATCCTATGTAGTGTAGTGCAAATGGAAGGCAGGCTATGAACATCTGATAAGTGACAAAGGCAGCTGTTTGTAAAATGATTCTATATAAAATCAACAAACCAAACAGACACATATCCTTACTATTTTCAGCATAAGTCAGTCCATTTAAAACTCAGGCATTACAAACCAGAAGCAACTTGACTCCACTTTTTATCTATCCAAGATATCAACTGACTTGATTTTCATTTACAAATAAAACTTCCAGGGCCACTGAGCTCAATTTATAAATACTATTTCTAGAAGATGCTTAGGAGTGCTAACTCCGATGAAACATAGTGGGCTGAGGTTTATTTTTTAGTTTAAAATTTTTGTCCTTAACTCATATACCTATTACTGAACCATCACCTTGTCTGCTTTAAATGATGGTGGACTACACAAGCAAAGGGAGTTCATTCTAATTTAAGAAAACGCATAAATAAATAGGAGGAGTGGAAATGATTTCCGCTGAAATCATGTGTAAAATTCTTGGGTCTCAGTTTTCTGGGGAGAGGATCCAGAGCTTCTGTCAGATGCTGAAAAGGGTCTAAGCCACCTTCAAGTTACAAACGAGTGCTTCCCTCACTTAAAATCCCCAGGGTAACACGAGAAAATGTTGGGGGAAAGTGAAGTAACAATAAACAGGGTGAAGAGAAGAGATAAAATAGAAGAAGGAAAGGACTGGATACCTGCACACATCCACCGGCAGCCTGGGCCTGAAGGGGTCATCTCGGAGGCCTCTGGCACCTCCGGAATAGGACTTAAGAGGGGCTTCTTAGAAGCAATGTCTCTTTCTCCATATAAGGATTTCTGAACACTTTTCTTTTTCATTCTTTTCTTCTTTCTGTAACTTTTTAAAACCTGAGAACATATGAAAACACGGCCATTGAGAAAGAGGCAGCACCTGTACAAGTTGGACCGTTGAACTTCTAGAACGTTTCTAATCATCATTCAGACAGGGTTTATTTAAAAGATTATTTCTACACAAAAAGTGCAGTATCAGTTACTCCATTTAACCCTGCAGGCATTTGAGTCAGGGGTCAGGGTTGGGCAAGTGAACACAAAGTCAAATTAGAAAGCAATACGTAAATTATAAATTACACAGAAGGAAGCTTTCTCGATTTCTACAAAACACTCCCCCAAACAAGAGCTGGGGAAGGGAAAAAACAGATTAGATGCTGTAGAGCTGAACAGATGTTAAGACGCGAGGTATTTATAAGTAGGTGGTAGCCATGATCCTGCAGGATTAACCCGGGCGAACCACCTACTGTAGCGCTACAGGAAACCGCTTTCTGTCCCTCGAAGAAACAATAGGTGTGGATGTAAAATGTTAAAATAACACCAAGCTAGCTGGACTGATTCAAATAACAGATGAGTCAACCGAGACTAAGATGGATATATCAAAACAGTGTGGATTTTAAAAAGCACAAGGAGAAAACATGGGATACAAATATCTGACGATAATTAATAGAAAACATGTGGGTCTCCGTACAAACTAAAAACTGCTTCAGTAACGTCCAGACTGAGGCATTACATTCAGCTCTGCGCGCGCCATACCAGCAATTGAGATATAAGAAACTTAAGAAAAAGTTTCATGTGGAAGAGACTTGAAGGAAATTTGAACACTAGAGTGAAATCCTAGAAAGAGCAAAAGCAACGACATACATTCAGGGTGGTCACGGGGGCAAACCTGGACTTCAGGTCAACATCAAATGCTTTCTGTTGTTGACGACACTGCCACAAAGTGGAAGTTATTCAAACATTCATTTAGAAATCACTTTGTGCCAGGTAGTAATTTGCTAGGTGTGGGATCTAAAAACAAAGAGAAGGTGGTATTCAAGGTCTAGGCAAACAGTCAGAATACTTAGTAGGAGAACAGACTGTGGGCTGGGAAGATGGGTGCGCGGAGGTGGGGGGTGTTCAAGACACGCTCCACAGACATGGAATGTCCAAGGCATGTCTCAAACAAGGGAGAACCGTTTTAGCTAAGTATGGGGGTGGAGGAAGGGTTTTTCAAAGAGGGACAGGGCACAGGGCCGAGGGCTGCCCATGGCAGTGCACAGAGGATCCACTGGCACCACGGGAGGCTGAGCCCCTGAGTAGAATGATCACACGAAAGCTCTGAGGGCGCCCTGCACAGGGACCCAGGGAGCAGCAGCTCATCTTCTCACATTTAAGGAAGATCCTTTGGGGGGACAAGGAAGATTTAGGTTGAAACTAATGGTGAGATCCAAGAACGCGAAAGGGCAGAGAACTATGAGTTCCTGGAGATATCTATAGATATCCTGTAAAAACAAAACAAAACATTCCATAGAGAAATAATTTTAGCACTGTACAAGATGAATGCTCCTCTCGGTGATTTACAATATGCATTGGACATGAAGTTCTCTGAGAAGTCCTCAGTGTAAATAATCTCTTCGTGCATTAGGAAAATGCTGGGCTAAATATTTTTCCATTAAGTCTTTTTTCATAGAACATCTGTTGACATGCCATGGAATGGTTGGGGAGATGCTGGCTTGGTCAATGGCTGCGGAAGCCGAGAGAAAAGAAAAATCCTAACTTGGGGTTCACGGATGAAATGCAGGAGAGAAAGAAACACGTGGCCTCTGGTGCCAGATGCTCTGGGTTTCAACCCTGACTCTGCCACTTAACCTGCTTTATAATTCCAAGCAAATTACCTCAACTTCCTTCTCTGCCAAACAGGAATCACAATAGCACCTATTACATAACGCTGTGGTGCAGGGTAAATGAGTTAACATGGGACGCGGCTAACATAAGCCTTGGCCCATAGTAAAAGCAATGTGTTAGCTGTTCTTATTCTTTTTAACTACTTTGAGAATAGGAGAAAAAATGTTAAAAAAAATTTTTTAATTGACAAAAAACATACATCTTTATGGTAAGAAACACAGCATTTTGATATACGTATTCATTGTGGAATGGTGAAATCAAGTTAATTAACATATCTATCACCTTGCAAACTTTAAATTTTCACCACCAAATTATATTAGTATTATTTTAGGACACAGGCTCTAGGTGGTTGAGATCCTATGGCCAAGGCGGTGCCCATGGCTCAGTGGGTAGTGCGCCGGCCACATACACCGAGGCTGGAGAGTTTGAGCCAGGCCCAGGCCTGCTAAACCACAATTGCAACAATAAAATAGCTAGGAGTTGTGGCAGGTGCCTGTAGTCCCAGCTGCTTGGGAGGCTGAGGGGGGTGGATTACTTGAGCTCAGGAGTTGGAGACCAGCCTGAGCAAGAGTGAGACCCCTGTCTCTTAATTAAAACTAGCCAGGTATTGTGGCGGGTGCCTGTAGTCCCAGCTACTCAGAAGGCTGAGGCAAGAGAATCACTAAAGCCCAAGAGTTTGAGGTTGCTGTGAGCTGTGACGCCACGGCACTCTACCCAGGGTGACAACTTGAGACTCCATTATGGCCAATGTCAATAGGTTATAATCTCTGGAACAGTCTGATTTATAGGTAAGAAAAAAAATTCCCTATTAGCATGATTCTGGAAATCTTTGTATGAATGTCCCTTGCACCGACAGTAGTGCTGGGCACACGCTGGGCACACAGTGGCCACTCTGCAGTATGAGTGAACGAATGATCAAATATCAAAGACAAGGAAGTACAATTCAGCTTATATACAACCTGGTAAGTATGACTGAAAGTCTAAACTTCTGCTTTTTCATGGTCGTGGCCAACAGACGCATCCCCCCTATAATAATTAAAGCACCTCAGTTCTGTCTGTCCTAAACATTTATCTAGCAGCGCTGATCTTGTCCATAAGAAGATTTTGTTAGCATATGACCAGAAACTTAAGAAAATGTGAATTTACCACAGTATAAAAGCACTGCTTATGGTTAATAAACAAAAGCAGCTATGTATGACTACAACTTCGATGCAGCCATTCAACCTAGAAGTGGTTGGGAAGTGGTTAACTTATGACTGGGAGCAAAGAACAAGGGAAGGTTTTTACTCCTAAAGGAAACCCCATTTCCTCCAAAATCACAGATACTGCTCACACAGTGAAAAAGGTCACAAAACAGAAAGAAATGTTTATTTTCTGTCTTATTTGCACAATGACAACAAATTGCTTTCAGAGAATAGTTTTAAAATTTTTCAACGAGCCACACAATGAAGGCAGTAGATGAGCGAATACAAGGGGGGAGTGGAATGAGGTAGCAGGGAGAGGGGAGGAAGGGGGACGGGTGTCACGGGGTACAGCACACCTCTTGGGGGTGGGACACAAGTCTAAGAGGGACCTTATCTAACAAATGCAATCAGTGTAACCTAATTTCTTTGTACCCTCAATGAATCCCAAACAATTTGCAAATAAACTGAGATATCCTCGCACAGACTCAGCCAAACTCTGGACTGGGTGACAACAGTCATGGCGTCCGCATGTTTCTCTATCCCGTGTGTCCTATAAACTGGTAACTAGATCTAGAAGCCTCATTAGATCCAGTTTTGATTCATCAATTTTAATTGGTGAAACTGACAAAAATTTGCATATATTACATCTCTTGATAGGTATATGCATTGTGAAATTATTAAATCAAAGCGATTAACGTAACTAGTGCCTCGCCTACTTTGTGGTGACATGCAGTATGTAATTTCCTAGCAGTTTTCACACACACGTTACTAGTCACCAGGTTGTAAAACCAATCTCCAGAACGTGTTCGCCCTACCTAAGTGAAACCCTGAACCCTTTCATCAGTATCTCCCAGCCCTCAGCCCCTCACCCCCCAGCTCCCCTGGCAACAGCCACTCTTCTCTTGGCTTCCTTTGAGTTTGACTTTCTTTGCTTCCACTCATGTGACATCTTTTAGTTGTCTCTCTGCACCCAGGTTATTTCATTTGGTACAATGTCCTTAAGATCCACCCATATTGTCACCATGACAGGAGCGCTTTCTTTCATTAAGACTGAACACTATGTCACCACATTCCTGCTGGATTTTCTTCACCCGTTCATCTGCTGGTGGAGCCTTAGGCTGAGTCCCTTTCTCAGCAGGGATTAAAGCTGCAATGAACGTGGGGGTGCAGGTGTCTCAACATACGGATTTCACTTTCTTCAGAAGTGGTACTGCTCCATCTGATGGCACTTTAATTTTTTTGGAAAACCCCGTACTGTTTTCCTAGTGGCGATGGACAATTAATTATATGAACTGGAGTTAACTTACCATACCCCATAGAGTGGAGAGATGGGAGCAGGGAAGGGCTGGGGCACAGAGCACCGGGGACATTGCCCGCCAGCTACTGAAATTACCTGCTAGAACCTTAAGACCAGTTCTACCTAGTAGCTGCCAAAACAAACTGCTATGATTAATGTAAGACTAGTCCTACCTCCCTAACTCTAACCCTGACCACAAGCCTAACCCTAACCCTATCTATGACGTTAACTGGCAGTTATGACAACAGCCACAAGGCTTACTGTGGCCAGACGTTATTCTAGGACTTATATGTGAATTCATTAGAGTGACAGTGACACAACCTTCTTATGTAACTGCCATTGCCACCACCATTTTGCCCACCACTCTGTTGTTGTCCACTGAAGAACCTAGAACCCGAGGAATTAGTGATTCCCCTTGAAATGCCCTCCTGGACAGCTAGACCCAGCGTGTCCTCAATTCTCACGCTTGCTGCCTCATTTTGCTCAAGTCTTTCCTTCAGTTAACATCCAAAGAAAGGAGAACGACTTTCAGAGTCCTGGGAAGCCCGAATGTCTTTATTTCTTCCTTCACACTACTTGACAGCCCGGCTGGGTTTAGAATGCTGCGTTGAAATTGTTTTTTTCAAAGCTTTATTTACTTGTTTTGAGACACACTCTCACTCTGTCACCCTGGCTAGAGTACTGTGTCATCATAGCTCATAGCAACTTCTAACTCGTGGGCTCAAGTGATTCTCTCACCTCAGCCTCACCTTGCTGGGACTACAGGCACCTGCCACAACACTTAGTTTTTCTGCTTTCAGTAGAGACAGGGTCTCGCTCTTGCTCAGGCTGGTCTCTAACTCCTGAGCTGGAGCTTACCAAAGTGCTAGGATGACAGGCTGAACCACCACCCCGGGCTCCTTCCAAGCTTTAAATGTCCTGTTGAATGATCTTCTAGCATTCAGGCCACTATTTAACTTGATACACTCTGATTCTTGTTTCTTTGTAGCAAAGTCCACTTTTCTTGTTAACCTTCCTATTTAGCTTCACATTGGCATGTCTAAATCCTGGCCTTCTTCATTGTGCCAAGCACTCATTGGGCTCTTTTAACTTGCAGACTCCTTTCTTCAGTTCTGGGAAATCCTCTTCTGGACAATTCTCCCATTCTGTCTTCTCCTTCTTTCTGAGATTCCCATGATGTCTCCTAGATGGGTCTTCCTTATGCTCTGCTTTCTGGAAGACTTTCCTTAACTCTATTTTCTAGTCCAATAATTACATTTTACACTTTTACAATTATTTTTTGTTCCTTTTTCGTACATCCTTTTCTTAATTTTATACAGATAGCATTTCCTTAAACCTGAGTATATCAGAGTGTGTACATGCAGGTGCGTGCATACACACGCACCCTCCTCCTCCCATTCCGTGAATAACTCATTTCTCTGAAGTCAGTTTCTAACTCAGTAACTCTGGTCTTTTTTCCTTACATGCTGTTAGTTCTTCTCAGTCATCTAATTCTTAAGAAAACATTGGCTAAACTGGTGTGCATTTCCTGTTTCCCAGCGCAGTCTCCTTCCTGCATGAAAGTTCTACCCAGGAACTCTGGGCAGAGTAGGGCACGGCGAACAGGAAGTGTCAGCTGTCTGCCGGGGTTTGCTTTAGGGCAAGAGCTGGCTATCAAGACTGGGACTTCCCAGATTCCCAGATGCAGGCTTTAACCTAGATGACAACATCTGTTCTGAATACCAGGGTGGGGGCGGAGGTGTGGCATCCCAACTGGTACACACTGCCTCATATGTAAGACTTCAATTAATCTGTTGGGTTTTTTTTCAGTACCACTTCTCACTTTCACCATCCATCGTACCTGCCAATCCTGGGCCCGGGTCTCCTGGGAGTCCCATAAGCAGGCTGGTTCCCAACTCCTCTAGCGCCCTCCTAGCACATCTGAGCTGTAAATCTTTCCACCTCTCTTATCTGTCAATATGTTCCCATCTGCTTTGTCTTCTAGGAAATCGCTGAAGGCCGTCATCATCTGTTGCTTAATACCCCTCCTCATGCCTTTCTCTCCTCATTGCTGTTCTATACCTACTCCTTTTATTATTCAAATTATAGTAATTCAGCAGGGTCCTGGGAAGGATCAGAGCAACTTAAGGCTCAATCCTTCTTGAACTTTCAGGCCATATATTTTATTTGAAGAAATAGGTACACAATTCCTTGTAATACCTTTTTTAAAATATATAAAAGAAGTCAATGTCTAGTGCAATAATATAAGTTGTTTGCATATTTAAAAATATATGTAGTCTTTTGGCAACAGGACCTTTCATTTCATCAAGAATGTGTGACTTAAAACAGGAAGTAAATCAGGAAAACATGCAGCTTCTTCTGGATTTGATGACTCAAGGATATCAGTGCCATTCAGCCAAGAAAAGCCATCATTTTCATTTCATGGAGGGAGTGAGGAAGTTTATGGAATGTTTTGGTGGTGGCGGGGTGGGGGTGGGAGGTTGGTGCTAAAATTGATTAGTGTTGGAAACGTTGATTTTGAAGGGCTCACAGGGTGGTTTAAGAAGAAATATGTTGAGAACAATGTAACCTAAAACTTTGTACCCTCATATTAATTTGAAATAAAAAACTTAAAAAAAAGAAAAATCTAATAGATAGTTAAAAACATTTCCAGTTCAGGATGGTCATCAAATGTGGTCATTAACCATGCTGCATATGAAATCACCCAGAAAATAAACAATTTATAAGGGCAAAGAGTAGAATTTGGGGGGAACATATACGTTTAAGGATAAGAAGAAAATGAACCTTTAATAGAGACTACAACCTTTAATAGGTAAGGGAATGTTCAATTATGTCAAATGGTGATGAGATGCCAAGTGAGGACGGAACAAAATGCACTGGATTCTGGTGACAAAGTTACTAAATACTTGGAAAATAAAGTGAAGTGGCGAAGAGGAGAAAAATGAGGCCAGACGTGAGACAGCAACTGAAGCAATGAATGTGTAAGCAGCACCAGCCCCACCCACCCGGCCAGTCTCTGCAGGGCCCTGTTAGCGGGGAGAGAAGCCATCAGAGTGCATGTTCTGCTGGATGGATGGGGCGGAGTAGGCAGGTAACAGAGCTGCTGAAAACATCAAATGCCGTCCAAGATGAAGAAGGGAGTGTGAACTTAAGGAGGATCTGAAAGTCTGAGTGTACACAGAGGGCTGAAGACTAATTTCAGGGTAGAGTCCATAGAAGGGCGTGAGAGGGCTGGAAGGACAGCAGGTTGGGGTCGGAGAATGAGCTGCATTCACGTGCACACACACAAGTGGAAGGAGTTAGGTGTTGGGTACAAGTTGTGGAAACGGCAGAGGGAGTGAGGGCTTTAGATCACAATGGCAAAGGTACTGGCTTAAGGTGCTAGATCAGCCATAACCCCAGGGACAGGGAAGGCACCCAAGATGACTGGAAGTATTAAGGAAGACTGAAGGCTAGTTTCAATTTAGAAGTTCAACAAATAGCGGAGGACACACTCACTCCTGTCTAAAGTATCGGAGGATTCCCACGAGGGTGAGAAGTTAGATTAGATTCAAAGATGACAATCAACTTCCAGTTTGAGTTTCTGTTATTTACTGTGCAAGATACAAGCAGCCCAAACATGAAGAAAATGCAGCAATGGCCCTTAGCTAATTAACAGGGAAATATATAACTTCTATGGATCATGCTATTCTAGGAAAAGATGATTTTAATAATCTTGGTCTTATGTGAACTAGAAAACAGCTGTTTCAATATTGTCCTAATCATACAACAAAGAAATCCATCACCTCACTCTTTATTGTATCTCCAACACGCATTTACCTGATTCTTTTTAGGCAGTGCTCTGTTTGTGTGCTTGGTTTCTTGAGACTTCCTTCTATTACTTTTCTTTTCTTTACAAGGCTGGGCTTCTGTATCAAATAAGTCGCAAGCGCTATCTTCTGCAAAACTGATCAACTGCTATAAAGAAAACGTCAAGTGAGGATACCACAAAGCACAGGAGGTTACAGTTTAATGTATAACCCTCACTTTTTTCTTCCCAAGATGCTGCTATCATTTTAGATCCTGTTCCTTCTTTTTTTTTTTTTTTGTAGAGACAGACTCTCACTTTGTCACCCTTGGTAGAGTGCTGTGGCGTCACACAGCTCATAGCAACCTCCAGCTCTTAGGCTTATGGATTCTCTTGCCTCAGCCTCCTGAGTAGCTGTGACTACAGGTGCCTGCCACAACGCCCAGCTATTTTTTTGTTGCAGTTTGGCAGGAGCAGGGTTTGAACCCACCACCCTCAGTATGTGGGGCCAGCACCCTTCCCACTGAGCCACAGACACCGCCCAATCCTGTTCCTTCATAACTGACAAATTCCATTAGAAGCATTTTAACCAAAATTCAAGTGGGGAAAAAAATCCCTCATTTCTGATATTTCAAATATAGATGCAGAAACACAGACACTACCCAATTATCATTAGGGAAAAAAATGATATATTAAGAAACTGCTTAAGAATTAGTTAATTTAATCATTTATCAAATGCTAAGCAACCACAATTTGGCACCTAACTGTTGTTGGGTGACAGGGCAAAAAAAAAAAATACAAAAAAACTCATGAACTTTTAGATTATTTAGGTTTAAATTCTGGGTTTATCATCTAACCTTATCAGCTCAGAACTCTATGATCTCTATTATAACAGCACAATACGACATGTTTTATCTAGCTTAAAAAATAGTAAAACATGCATGCATTCACTGGTTGTTCAAATCCAGTGTTAAAAACCAAACCAAAGAACAACCTAACCAGGTTATATTTGAGTCATGGGCTCCATTGATTCCATGCTGATCTTTTCCATTTTCACCTCAATGAAATTCATAAAATAATATGGATCCCAAACAAAATTTCCAGATTACCTTCCACATTAACGCAACTCTGAGAGCACTTTATTTTATTGGATTTTTCTTCTAAGAGAATTAATAAAAATAAAATCAGGAAAGCATTATCACCCTAGGTAACATGGTAGGTCGGCTAAAGGATCAGTGCTTAATGACACGGGTCAAGCAAAGATTTTCCCCATTAGCGTGGGATCATCAAAAACAGAAAAAGTAAACAGAAACATTTAAAAGCAAATATATTGTGTTAAATACAAGCACTTACATTTCTTTTGTTGGAAGTCCGCGTTATAGCACCAACTTTACAAGAGGAAGTTTTCTCATGGTTATTTGAAGGACTGCAAGAATCAGTGCCTAGTAAGGAAGAAGTAAGCAGAATCACGCAGTGAACACAAAATTACAGCACGCATCACCATTCAGATACACTGGACAGCCTTCTGTATACCCATCTTTGCTTTTAATATAATATCTATACATAACAATTACTAAAAGGAATAAATTTTGAAATCCATTTTTTTAAAACAGCTTTACTGAATACTCAAAAACTTTCACCACTTTGCCTGGTGACTGCTTAACACGTTATCATGTGCGTTTCCTTTTGCACAATGAAATTGCAATGAAGGGCATTAAGATATCCATGAAAATACTTTAATTTTACAAAGTTTAAGAAAACTTTAACTTTTAAGGTAGTAATGTGTTTCAGAGCACAAGCTTTAAAATATGATAGACTATGACACAAATTTTAGCTCTAACTTAAAAAGACATGGCCTGGATTCTGTGCTGGTGAGCGTGGTTTGTGTCAACAAGAAGCCATTAAAAGATTTTGACCAGGGAAGATACATGAATAAAAAGGTCCCATCCTAAGGGCCTACCCCGTGACATTCGCCGCCAAATCCTGGTTTGTCAGAACAGCGGGCAGAGATCTCTGTTGCCATGTCATGGTCATAAAAAAGTCCAGAGATGAGGGAGGAAGGTGTGAATTTGGGAGGAAGGTGTGAATTTGGGAGGAAGGTGTGAATTTGGTATGCTCTCACCTACCGGGCACGATGTAGGCACCTACGGCACACCTACTGGGTGAAGGGTCAACTTCAACTTGGACTTTACCTAACAAACGCAAAGAATATAACCTAATCACATGTGCCCTTATATTAATCTGAAATTAAAAAAAAAAAATACAAAGACCTTAGAAAGTATATGTGATAAAAATGCCAAATTAACGTGCATGAAAAATTGTGGATACTTAAGAATGACCCCTTACAATGCAGGTCATCCCAGGAGTGCAAACTACAAATAAAACTTATTGTTTGTACTTAAGAGTTGAGAGGCAACTTTGCTGCTTATAGCAACTTGAAAAGTGAGGGTACTTAAGAAAGTCAAATGTGAGTGATCATAAAGCATGGAACACAGACTTGGAATAATATAAGGGATGGACGGGCCAGGCGTGGAAGCGCATGCCTGAAACCCCAGCACTCTGAGAGGCTGAGGTAGGGGGATCACTTGAGGCCAGCAGCTTAGAGATCGGCCTGTGCAACAGTGAGATCCTGTTTCTACGGAATAAAAAAAATTAGCCAGGCATGGTAGCTGGTGGCACGTGCCTGGAGGCTGAGCAGGAGGATCACATGAGCCCAGGAGTTCGAGGGAACTACGATGATGCCACTGTACTCTATCCTAGGCAACAGTGAGACCCTGTCTCAACAAAAAAGAAAGGGAAGTTAAGGAGGGGACTGTGGTGGCGGTGACGATGGACAGAGGTAACAGAAGGCGGCAGGTGTTTTGAGAGAATTGTCTGTCTACAACAGAAGCAATTGTAGTTGATTTCATGCCGATTCTGAGTGCAAAGCCTCCCCACCCCAGGCCCCAACTCCCCTGCCCATCTCTGACTCTGGCACTGTTGAAATACAGCTTTTATTGCATTTCTGCTGTTTTATAAAAATATGACAAAATAAATTAAAAACAAATAAATTGCAAAAAAAAGGGGGGCTGGATAACACCCTTTTCTATACTATTAGATTTTTTTTTTCATTTTATTATATTTTTTGAGATGGGGTATTGCCCAGGCTAGAGTACAGAGGCATGACCAAAGCTCACGGCAACCTCAAACGCTGAGTTCAAACAACCCTCCCTGCTTCAGCGTCTTAAGTAGCACATGCCACCACACCTGTTAGCTTTTTTCATTTTTTCTTATAGATAGAGGTCTTACTATATTGCCCAGGCTGGTCTAGAATTCCTGATTTCAAATCCTCCTGCCTCCGACTCCCAACTTGCTGGGATTACAAGCGTGAGCCACTGTGCCCAGTTCCATTAGGTTTCTTAAGCCAACCCAAGAACGGATTACTGTAACAAATACACAAATTCTAAAAGAAAATTAAAAGATTTAAGTGTCATACATCCTCACTTTGAAACAACATTTACGACAAGATAAAGAAAAGTTACTACCTGATAGAGTCTCAGAGGTTGGAGACTTGCTAGAAGGACTCAGAACTGCAAAGGAAACCTGAAGTGGTTCTATGTTTTCCTAAACAAAGAAAAAAAGAACGTAGATATCATTAAATTCAGTGACTGTATAATGTGCCTCAAATAGAAATGATAAGAATTTATTTTGACAGGAGGAACTGTAATAAGCATAAAGTTGGACAATCTATAAAAGAGAATAGTCAATAATAAACAAAGATATCTGATAGAAAAATGCACAAAGTATATTTTGTGTGTATTTACTAATCATCTTTATAATGAAGGTTCCATGAAATCTGGTCCATACAAAAAGTCATGTAAGGATTGTTTGGAATAGGGCGAAACAGGTAAAAACCTCCATAAAATATAGATTAAACCCTGGCATATCATTTAGTCCACGTAATGACTTCAAAGCACAATTGCTGCTCACGTGAAACACATGAGGCCTGATAAAAAGATGAGAAAGTTCATTCCATACTTTCCACACTTACAAGATTCTCTCCCTTGTCATCAAAATTTGGTTGAGGTAGTATCTCGGGAACCAGTGACATTTCAGGCGGCTGAGAATCGGTATCACTTGGGTCCTTCTTACAAATAGGGGTTCCTCCTTTACGTAAAGGGGTATTTGCCGGCAAAGACTCATCAAACACCTCAGGGCTTAGGTCCTCTCCAAAAGTCACTCTCTTTCTTTTCCTCATATTAACAAAGGTTGGTGTTTTATAACTTTCTTCATCTTCTGTAAATAAATGGGAAGACCTTAAAAAATTAAGCTGTATTTCTTATCCAAAAGGCATATCCTAGATCTTTAAAAATTATCATGTTATTATTTGTATAGTAAAAAAGTTTGTAGAACAAATTCAAAATGGAAAAGACAATTTTCCAATTAAAATATGGTAATAGATTTTTTTTTATTAAGTCTTATATACATAGATCATGAATACATTTATGCCTTTGTGGGATTCAATGTGTTGATTATTTATACAAATTGGAGTGCTTACATCCTACTAATTAATATAGCTTTTACCTTATTTACTTAATCACACTGTTAAGACATTTGTGTTCAATACTTGATAGATTTGACTTGTACCCTTGCAATATGCTCCATAGGTGTGGTCCCACCATAAAATATGGTAATAGATTTTAAAGTAAAATTTTGCATGAATACCTTAAAAAGTTTACAAAATTGGAATGTAAATTACCCTTACAAGGTCTACCAGTAAGTAAAATGGATAGGCCAATTCTGAGGCTCTCTGGAGAGTCTATCCCTCCCCACTGTTCTTCATTCCCACATAATTTCAGAAGCATTAATGCATTATTAACAGATTGTTGAAAATTCCATACACTAATCAGATTTTATGATCTGATTAAAATGATGTCTTCGGACTTAAAAATAAATGTGAATTTCTTACCCACTATTTGTTCTTTGCAACAATTTGCAGGATCTGAGAGTAAGTTTGAATTCGTCTTGTCATCATAAAGGTTGTTACAATGCTCCTAAACAAAATAAACATCAATTAACATTTACTGATAGAAATATATATACAGGCAAACTATAGGTGCGGTGGCTCACACCCATAGTTCTAGCACTCTGGAGACCAAGGTGGGTAGATTGCTTGAGTTCAGGAATTTGAGATCAGCCTGAGCAAAAGTAAGACCCTATCTCTACAAATAGAGAAAAACAAAAACAAAAAACTAGCTGGGCACGGTGGCGTTAAGTCTACAGTCCGAGCTACCAGGGAGGCTGAGACAAGAGGATTTCTTAAGCTTAAGAGTTGGAGGTTGTTGTGAACTATGATGATGCCATGGCACTCTACCAGGGTGACAGAGTGAGACTCTGTCTCAAAAAACAAGAGAGAGAGGGCCATGTGCAGTGGCTCATGCCTGTAATCCTAGCACTCTGGGAGGATGAAGTGGGTGGATTGCTTGAGCTCATGGGTTCGAGACCAGCCTGAACAAGAGCAAGATGCTGTCTATAAAAAAATATAGCCGGGGGTTGTGGGGCACGCCTGTAGTCTCAGCTACTCAGGAGGCAGAGGCAAGAGGATTGCTTGAGCCCAAGAGTTTGAGGTTGCTGTGAACTATGACGCCAGAGCACTCTACCGGGGACCACAAAATACGACTCTGTCTCAAAAAAAAAAAGAGAGAGAAAGAGAGATATATCGCAATGAAAAATGGCAATTTTTAATTTCTTCTGCCAAAGGCAAGTTAGTACTGGTGATTATGTGTATGAAGTGTTCTGGCTAAAACACTGTATCAGGCATAAATAAAAATGAGGTTCTCCAGGTATTACTTTAGAAGATGGTATTCTAAGCCAAAATTAAAATAATAGAAATCAACAAATGTTGGTTAAATTCATTCTATCTTTGATCCAGCAAATAAAGTTAATACCATATGAAGTTAATATGTTGTAACCAACCTCACACAATTCTAATGAGAAGACTTGATGTTCACTGTATCAAATTGCTAATAAATATTAACTTCATATGGTAGTAAGTTCATTTGCTGGATCGGATGGGGCCAATACCTTCCCTAAAGTACTGTATCTAAATCAGCTCTTAATCAAAGTTGTTGAAACACTTAAAATAACAATTCACCACCAGTTACCCATGTAGATGGAAGGTAACCTAGTTTATTTTGGCTTTAGAGACAGATGTGTAGACATAGATATATTAAAATGCTTACAATTTGAAAAAGTGATTTATATTTCTGCTGTGCCAGGGCCTGATGGTGATTTCCTATTATTATCCCATGTAATGCTCAAATTATGCGTAAGGTAATTACTAATAAATATTACCCTAGATCAGGAAGCCAGCCAGGCACAAAAATGTTCAGCTGATGCGTTTCTAAGTCAGGATTTGAACTAGGCACTTTGTCCTCTCGGCCCATATTCTCCATCACTTACAGATTTACGTCTGTCATGAATTTTAACATCAGACTTATCTGAGTTGACTTAACAAACCAGCAAGTTTAAGTGTCAAATGGGGCCAACACCTTTCTTAAGGTACTGCTGTATAAAGCCAGAAACTGTCCAGAGAAACTACTGAGTAACTGCTAGTTCCTATCAACTTCCTCTTTCTTCAGATTAACTCAGCTTAGGGGAAAAAAATCATATTTTTAAGACCAAATATTTTGGGCAGACAGGTAATAGACTGACACATTAATTATGTTAACCAGCATCATTAAAGAATTATAAAAAATTAATTGGTAAAATATGTTTATACATTAATAATTATAATTAAGATTAGGAACCATTTATAAATTATAGTGTATTTATGTTATATTCTGCTGCGTCCGGGTTTGAACCCACCACCTCCGGTTTATGGAGCTGGTGTCACAGGCGCCGCCCACACCATTCTTTATTATCAAACAGAATAAAAAGAACTTCCACATAGTACTATAAATGAAAAAGATGAGATAAACCAGTTTACCGTAAGATACTTTCTTTTAAATCAGTATGATAAATGACATTTCAGAGTATTGCTGTCGACCAAAATGAATTTTTGCCTATTTGCTTTAGGAAATATAACTCTCTTATTACCTGTAAGCTCTCGGGAAGCAGCTTGACAGAGGGTTTCTTCAGTACAGAACGCAGTACAAAGGTCTCACTGGGAGGAAAGTCCCTGGTCCACACTGGAGTAACTGGTGACGTCAAGTCGGGGGCTGTGTCTGAGCCTGCACCCGCAGGGAAGATGTCAGGTGAAACGCCATCACTCGGTCCTCGGTCCTCCACACAGTCAGCAACCTTGAGTCCTTCAAGATAAAAATGGAAACATAGGTGGAAAAAGTCCAAATTTGTTCTAGACCCAAAACCTGTCATATATCTACAAAGATAATGACGTGCTATTAAGAAATTCAAATCTAATACATCCTGTTAAGGAGAAACATCTGCAATTTCATCTGGAAATCAAAGAGGAGGTAAAGAGATGGCACCAGGCACAGGTGAGAATTCAAATCTAACTACTCGAGGTAAAGGTAAGGCGCTTTGGCGCCGTTAAAAATATGAGTCAGAGGTTGAAAGAAGAAGCTACGACCCGTTAGTCTGTCTTGACCCATGACACTGATTTCCAGCACCATAAAATTAAGTTGCTCGATAATGAGCAACTTCCTTGCTGGTGTCAGAGGCATTTCAGCCTCAAGAGTGGGAGTAACACGGAAAGGGATCAGTGAGAAGAAAGATTATCAAACCACACGAGAAATGTACAGTATCTGCCCCAAAACCAGGCAAGGCTTTCGGCCCTCAGCTCTTCCTCAGAAGAGAACACTGTCTTATGACCAAGCGATTCACTTAACAAATGCATGACATGATGGAATCTCCCCTAGGTGACAGGACAGGCTGTGATGAACAACACACAGAAAGAGCCCCCATCACAGAATCAACAATATAAAATCTGACAACAGGGAGGGGTGACAGGAGGGAGGCAGCGGTGGCTCCAAGGGGGAGCACAAGGGGTCCACGGGACAGAACTGTTGTGTAACTTGACTGCAGTATGGTCACCAGAGTCTACACACATGATAAAACTTTCCAGACTAAGTATATCCACAAGTGAGTGCATGTAAAGCTGATGAAATCTGAAAACAAGTTGGGGGATTGTACCTACATCAATTTCCTAGTTTTGATATGTTTCTGGGGGAAACTGGGCAAGAACAATATTGGATCTGCTTATATTATTCCTACAATTGCATGTGGAGCTATAGTCATCTCAAAACAAAAAGTTAAAGAAACCGATATATATATATATATATATATATATATACATAAAACAACAAGTACCAATATAGGCAATTAAGAAAAATAATGTAGCACTAACGGGACAGAGTATGATAAAATGGGAGGGGGTGTTACCACTCTGGGTAATCAGGAAGACCCCCCTGAGCAGGTATCTGAATAAAATGGGGCGAGCCACAGATCTAGAGAAGGGCATTACAAACACAAAGCCAAGTGCAAGGCTGGTGTGACAGAGAAAAGAAGCTAAGAAATAAATTCAGAACAAGGGTCAAGGACAAGAGCTACAAATAAAATAAGATACCATATTATTAGTAAACTGAACCAAAGAAGAGAAAAAAACCTCTAAATAATGATGAAAACTGAAGATGCAAAAAAATGGAAAGACATTATATGCTCACGGATTAGAAGAATCAATAGTTACTCTATTGCTGAGTAGTTACATTGAACTTGCGTCTTTGGGCTATATCCCGAGCAGTGGGATTGCTGGGTCACATGGTAGGTCGGTTTCCAGTTTTTGAGGAGCTTCCATGGAAAGACATTAAATGGAAAGACATTATATGCTCACGGATTAGAAGAATCAATAGTTACTCTATTGCTGAGTAGTTACTCAATTGCTACTCAGAGCAATCTACACATTCAACGCAATTCCCAGCAAAACACCAATGACATTATTCACAGAAATGGACAAAAAAATCCCAGAATTTATATGCAACCGTGTAAGACTCAGAATAGAACAAAACTCGAAGAATCACATTACCTGACTTCAAATTATACTAGAGAGTTGTAGTAACAAAAACATGATACCGATATAAAAACCGACACTTACACCAATGGAACAGAAAAGAGAACCTAGAAGTAAATCCACACGTCTAGGCTCACGCCCATAGCTCAGTGGTTAGGGCGCTGGCCACATAAACCAGGGCTGGTGGGTTTGAATCCTGCCAGGGCCTTCTAAACAATGACAACTGCAACAAGAAAAAAACTGAGCGCTGTGGTGGGCGCCTATAGTCCCAGCTACTTGGGAGGCCGAGGCAAGAGCATCACTTAAGCCCAAGAGTTTGAGGTTGCTATGAGCTATGATACCACAGCACTCTGCCTAGGGTGACATAGTAAGACTCTGTCTCAAAAAAAATCCACACACCTATAGCAAGCAAGCTTATCTTCCACAAAGGAGTCAAGAACATACAATGGGGAAAGAACTGTCTTCCATAAAAGGTGCTGGGGAAACTAGATAAGCACAGAAGAATGGAGAAGAATTCATCATGCAGAAGAATGAAACTAAACCATCACCTCTCGTCACATACAAAAATCAAATTAAAATGGATTAAAAATATAATACCTCTGGCTGGAAACTACTAAAGGAAAACACTAGAGAAATGTTCCAGAACACTGGTCTGGGCAAGGACTTGTTCAACCAGAGCAAAATTGGACAAATGGGATCACTAAACTTTTAGATTAACTTCATTAACTCTCAGGTTAACTAAAGGCTTCTGCACAGCAAAGGACACCAGCAACAAAAGGAAGAGACAACTCACAAAATGGGAGAAAATATTTGCAAAATACTCCCCTGAAAAGGGATTAATAACTAGATTAGATAAGAAACTCCAACAATAAAAAAAAAATTAATTAAAAACAATGGGCAAAGGCTCTAAATAGACATTTCTCCAAAGAAGACATACAAATGACCAACAGTCATATGAAAAAACACTCCACATCTTTAGTCAGTTTTACCTGAAAGGTAAAACTACAGTGAGTTACCATCTCACCCCAGGTAACATGGTTTTAATCACAAAGACAGGCAATCATGAATGCTGACAAGGATATGGAGAAGAACCCTCAGACTGTTGGCGGGAAGGTAAGTTACCGCAACCCCTATGGAGAACAGTATGGAAGCTCCTCAAAAACTGGAAACCGACCTACCATGTGACCCAGCAATCCCACTGCTCGGGATATAGCCCAAAGACGCAAGTTCAATGTAAAGCTATCTGCCCCCAGTTGATCGGCCCCATTCACAACAGCCAAGATTAATCAGTGTCCACTGATGGAAGACGAATAAAAAATTACGGTACAAACAAACAATGGAATATTAGATAGCTGCAAAAATTAATGAAATCCTGCCATCTGCAACCATGTGGACGGAACTGGAGAACAGGATGGCAAGTGAAATAAGCCAAGCACAGAAAGACAAATCTTGAATGTTTCCACTCTCACGTGGGAGCTAAATGTTAAAAATGTAAAACTCTCTGGAGACAGAGAGTTACCAGAGACGAGGAAAGGTAGAAGGCTGGGGAAAATACACGTGAGGATGGTTAATATGTACAAAAATATAGTGACAGAGTTAGAATGTACAGTATTTGCTAGCACAACAAAATGGCTATAGTCAACAGTAAGTCAGGGCATACTTTAAAAGAACTGAAAGAATGAAAACTGGAATGTTGCTAACACAAAGAAATGATAAAGCCTGAGGTGAGGAAAATCCAACTACCCAGATGTGATTCATTCACATCGCACGCCTGTATCAAACCATCACATGTACTTCACAAAGAGAGACAACTAGTATGTGTGCATAATAATTAAAAACAAAAAATAACTTAAAAACAAGAGAGAAAACGGGAGGCAAGGAGAAGGAGTGCAATCTTCTCTTCAAGTCTTTTGGCCTAAATGAGCACAAAGAAATGAAGTTCTGGCTGGGAGGGAAGGGAAGTTTAAGATGGGAGAAAATACTTGTTACACTATATTGTACCTTGGTCAGAAAAGGTAATCCAGAAACGAGAGGGAACTCTGACACAAAGGCCTTGAAAAGAAAGGGCATGGTGTCAAAGGGAAGACAGTTGTTCTACAGCAGAACTGGTTTCTAAGTGCCTTGCTTAAGTAGGCAGAGACCATAAGGGAACCCTTGTATCATAAACGGAAGTCTTGGCAAAATGCTCTTTTCTTAAACTGGCATACTGAATTTGACTTCATCTTCTTCCAGATGGCATGCTGAAGATTATATTCTGGTTTGTGTCCATTTATTTATAAATCTTTGTTTTTGCATATTTTTATACCCGTCAAAGTTATTTTTAGAATCATAGTGTACTAACTTGTCTGGTTCAAGGGTACAATATCTCTGGGGATGTAATTTTTTGAATTGAAGGAACCCACAAAACAATCAAAAATCAAATTACAAAGTGGCAGTAGCAATTCTTCATCTATCAACAATTTTCTTGAAGGTAAATGGATTAAATTCTTCAGTAAAAAGACTGAACTGCAGAGTAAACAATAGGCTGAGATCTAATCATATGTTTCCTATAAGAGACTCATTGTCCAATACTAACTCTAAGTAGACTGTAGAAACTTAAAAAGATATATTCTAATCCCTAGAGCAACAACTTAAAAAAATGCAGTAAGTTATTAGGTTTAAAAGGTAACACACAAACGCAAATGCAATTCCAAAAACAACAACAACAAAAAACTGCTAAAATAAACCCAAAGGCAAAAACAGAGAAACAGACAAACAGAACAAAAAACATGATAAAATGGTAGATGTGAAGCCACATCAATAATTACATACAATATTAGCAAGGTAACTACTTGAATTTGAAGGCAGAAATTATCAGGACGGATAAAAAGTAAGATCCACCTATATGCTTGTGTATGAGTTTCACTTTAAAGATAAAGACAGGTCTGATAAAAATAAACATAAAACTCTGCTAGAACTTTCACTCAAAACGAGAACACTGGCTTAGGGAAAGGATAAATAATGTTTACATTTTGGTAAAACTTCACACTTAAAAACAGAAATACACAAAAAAAGTACACATGATATTCACTCAACAGAACGTATCTGTTAATACAGTCACAGGCCCTACCCCTTATGCGAGATTCCATCAGCTTGGGATTCTTCACTAATTCGTACTGAAAGCAGCTCCAAAAAGAGACTATCCCACACCCAACGAGAATTCTAACACATTTCTACTAGGATGAGAGACGCTAAAAAGTCGAGAACCATTTCCGTTTCCTCAATGAGGGAACAAGTACCCTAATCGTAAATGTCTACTGTATGGAATAACTGGCATATTGCTAAGGAAAAATTACTCACCATCTGAAGCCTCTGTGAACTCTGTAAGGGGAACAGACGCTTCAACTAAACTTCCAGACTGCATTGAACCCAGTTCAGATGATTTCTTGGGGAAAACATGTAAAGAGCAATGAAGTATTAGTTTTATTACTTACAGCAATACTTTTTTTTTTTTTTTTTTGCAGTTTTTTTGTTCAGGGCTGGGTTTGAACCTGCCACCTCCGGCATATGGGGCCGGTGCCTTACTCCTTTGAGCCACAGGCGCCACCCCATTACTGATATTTTTGTGAAGCATCAGGGATTACCTGGCGATCTGGGGTTCAATCAGCTGCCCTCATTCCCTGGCAAACTCACAGCACACAGGGACCCGATGAGGCCGTGTCCGCCCTCACTGCGCCCTACACAGCCCACAGCACATTTCCAACCCCCTAGGGCAAGTTTAAAGGACACGTTTTTGTTGCCTTATTATCAAAGCTTAAAAAGCTGTGTCATTTGCTAGTCTTGAAAGAAAAAATTCTCAAAATAAAAGTGTTATATAATTATTCATCAAATGCCAAAGGATACCAATAGCTCGAATAGAAAAAACCTTAACAGCTAGGACAGGAAACATCCACACCATTCAGAAATAATCTCTAAATCAAGGTGTATGTCCATACAATTAATCAAATTTCTGATAAGCAAAAATTACTATTTCCTCTGTCAGATGGCGATTTCATATTAGCCTGAGTAGTAACTCAGAGAGGATAAGCAACTCTGAGTTACAAATTAAACGCACAGGACCCTGAAGAACGCTAATGACTGTCAAATTAGAGTTCAGCCGGTCTAAGTAAGATGAGCAGGATGAGGGCTGGAGCTAAGTGACAGAGAAGGTGTGCAAAGAGGCCCTGTTAAATCCTCACCTTCTACGGAGGACGACCAGGCTTACCCTCCCCACAAAGACCTTTTCCTAAGTAAAGTTAGTAATCCAAACCAACATACCTATCCATATTATTCTAATAAGCAATAAATTTTTAATTTTTTTTTTTGAGACAGAGGCTCAAGCTGTCCCCCTGAGTAGAGTGATGTGGCATCACAGCTCACAGCAACCTCCAACTCCTGGGCTCAAGCGAGTCTCCTGCCTCAGCCTCCCAAGTAGCTGGGACCACAGGCGCCCACCACATCGCCTGGCTATTTTTTGGTTGCAGCCATCATTGTTGTTTGGTGGGCCCGGGCTGGATTTGAACCCACCACCTTAGGTGTATGTGGCTGGCGCCTCAGCCACTTGAGCCACAGGCGCTGAGCCTCTAATAAGCAATAAATAACCAACATACAACAATATTATTACCAACAAATAACATATTGTTTCTATAAGCAATAAAAAACCAACAAATAACAATAAAATTAGCTGCCAGGAAACACACACACACACACACTTTAAAACCCCAGCTACAATATGGCAGAAGTGCAAAAATCAAAGGTATTGACAACCTTAAAAGTTGCCTACGCAGAAAACCACAGCTTAACTTTCCTATGTGCAAAGTAAATGAATTACCAGAGAAAGATCTGCAGGCGTCTCAGCGGCACCTAGTCTGTCTGTATCGATACTGAACAGCTGAAGCTCAATTACTTTTTCTTCACCATCAGTTAGATTTTCATCAGAGTTGCTCTCAGAGCAGATTCTCCGGCGTTTGGATGATAACTCCGTAGGGAATCCAGACTGCTGATATTCCGGAAGATCTTCCTTTTTGGCTACACACACACACAAAAAAAAAAAATTAAAAAAAAAATGGCATAAATATTTAACATTATAATTTTAAAATTTTGTGCATCACAGCTATTTTAAGTAAAATTTAGTGCTTTGGTGGAAATCATCAACTAAAAGAAAAATATAGGATATATTTTCAAAACAGAAATCTAACTAGAAGGCAAGAGAACATGATTACTGAAAAGATATTAATAATATCTTGAATGGAGTCTTTTTGGATCTTAAAATGCAAAGATATACCAATATATACTTCTGTGTCTGATATTGTATCTGTTTTTAAATTCATGATGAAACCTTTATTTTGAACATTTTAAAGGATATAGTTACATTCTCTGTGATTTAGAGATGTAGTTACTCTATGATTTTGTGAAAAAAATACAACCACAGTATGTCTCAGTTCTTTCTAGCTACAAAAAAGAAATGCTATGGTCTGCACCGTTATACCAATGATATAAAAAAATTTAAAACTCAGGGAAAAAGCAAGAAGAAAAGTTATAAACTACAAATACAAACTGTACATCTGAATGGGTCACGCCCCACAGAGGTAGACCAACGGGGCTCGTCTGGGGAGCAGTGCACTGCTGACACGGAGGCACTGAAATGCACTTGAAGATGGTTCAAGAAATCAAAACAAAACCATGTGAAATTTTAGCATGTAAAGCACCAGAGAAATGGTTATAATGATTACAGTAAAACCAAGATTTTGTCCAATTCTGGTGTCTGAAATCCTTTAGGATTAAAAAAATTTTTTAAATGACTGAAAAAATAGCCAAAGGAACTACAATCTAAGAGTCAAAATACATCTGGGCTCTCAGATCTAGTCTAGATCGGACTGGATACATTTGTTTTTAACTACAGGGTTGGATGTTTGGTATAAATGCTTACCAAACCTAAAAAATCAAAATTTATAAACTCAAATCTACCAGGAGCTCTATTCTATAGGTGAAATAAGCGAATTAGCGCTGATATTTTAAAACTTAAAATTGTGAATAGGTGGAAATGTAAGATCAGGAATGCCTGACATTAAAGGTTTTAACAGCAAACAGAAATCCCTATTTTTGTTTTAAATGTCCCCAATTTTTAATGTTAGGCTCCACTTAAAAGTACTTCTGGGCTCTGTAAAGATGGCTTTCCCATTGTGGAACAAGGTAAGTTGTGTTCCATCCTAGAAGCTTATCTCTGTAAATCAAAACTGCGTGACTTCTTTTTTTAAATTTATTTATTTTTTATTAAGTCAAATACACATAGACCGTGAATACATTTATGCATTTGTGGGGTACAATGTGTTGATTTTTTTTATACAATCTGATGTGCTTACATCAAGCCAATCAACATGGCTTTCGCCTCATTTACTTGATGATTGCGTTAAGACACTTATGTTCTACACTTGACAGATCTGACTTCTTTGTACTCACTCAAGTCTGCTGTCTCACACTCTCTTTTTGCCTCAGAGGGTTCCAGACAGTCAGCCATTTTCTCGTCTTCCTTAATGGAGTAAAAAGCTGACTGGAAAGCGGACATTCGCTCCCTTAAAGAGTTGACATTTCGATACAGCACAGGGCTGCCCTGTAAAAGCGCACAGACACAGAGGGGATCAGAAATCAAAGCAAACCCAGTTCCCAGGTTCTAGGCCTACAGCCACTGAACTCAAGGCTAAACATAGTTCTCCAAGGTTTCTGAAGATCACGGGGGATGAGTTCGTGTGCGGGGCCTCTTCCACCTGGACGCACACATTTCCACTCTGAATAGCTGGTGAGCCCCAGTCACCTTTGACTGTCCCCTCTGTGCCTCCCACAGCTTTTAGCAAACCTGAGCATGGAGGAATAGTGAGCAACCCGGACAGACGTACAGCTACACGCTGAGGAGTCGGTGGGTCACGCTACAGAAAATGCTTTAAGAAGGCACCCAAAGTGTATCCCCTATCACGTGGGGAGTGACCTACTCTTGGAAGGATTCTGAGGGGTTTAGGGACTCTCATTCATTCCTTAGCTTCCACCTCAGTGAATCAAATTTAAAAGGAAAAGGAAATATGTTTAACACAAAAACACTGAAAGGCCCGATGGAGAACACATGGAAGGCACACACACACACAAGCAACAACTGGGGCGGCGCCTGTGGCTCAAAAGGGTAGGGCGCTGGTCCCATATGCCCGAGGTGGCAGGTTCAAACCCAGCCCTGGCCAGAAAAAACAAAAAAGCAGCAACAACAACAAAAAAAAGCTAAATCCTGCGATAAGGCAAGGAAGAAGGGACAGGAGGAACCTGCCTATTTGGAAACGCCACCAAAGGTGTGCTAAAGTCCTGCGAGTATCATCTACACAGCACGCGTGTCACACAACGTCCTGGCGTACCTCCTTCAGTCCACACTGGTCTCCACTCACCATTGGGCCACCAGTGCCAGCCAGCCCAAGAGGCCAGAGCAGCCCCCGAAGTGGCACACGCTCTCAGATGCCCACACTCACATCTTCTCTCCCCAGCTAAAGGCTCCTGATTTTACGGGACTGGGGATGCTACTTCCCTAGGGCTGAAGCCAGCCACTCACTTAGAACACAGAGTCAGATGCCGGAAACACAGGAGCTCACAGGGTTCAGGCAAGGATGGATTAAAATGAAATTTATTCTAGCAGGGCGTGAGTTCTGCTTACATATAAAATACGTTACTGATTAAGTTCACTATCCTGATTTTTTTCCCCTTAATCATTTAGACTAATAACCCACTTCCACTGATAGGGAATGTGCGGTAATTTCAAAAATTCCATCAACAGGCCCAAGTAAAAGATTACCTCTTTAAGAGATTGTGTGGAGGAGCAGCAGTTAAAATCCTGAAGTCATATTTGATGGTACTCTGTTCACACACTGATTCTATTCCCAGTGAAACACACCCAGAAAGCAAACTCCCTATTACATAATACCAGAACATGGTAAATTTAAATATGCCTGATGATGCAAACCTTTATGACATAAACAGCATGTAATAATCACAAAAGGCTTATGGTCATTTTATCGACTGGAGCAACAGAGAAGAAATTATCTCCAGGTTATACAATTTACTCTGAATGTGCTTTTTGGTACTCTTATTTGAACACGGTAGGAGCAGGGTTAATAGCCTATACACAGGAACTTGGAGTACTCTGAAATGCTCCTTATAGCAAATTGTAAGTTTCTCCAACTAAACATTTTCTTCTCTATTTCCTGCTGGAGGAACAGACTACTGTTGATATACCAAATAAATGAAACATTCAAAATGTATTGTTTTGATGCTTTTTGCCTTATGAATGATGTTGGTCAGTCAATATTCCTTCTATGGGCCCAGAAACTGTCCTGAGGCTCACGATCCAGGGGGAAAAAACATATTCTAGAACAAAAATCTGAAAACTTATCAACGTACTTCCATGTATAAGAGGTGCTACTGAAAAGATAAAATAGTGCTGGGTGTGGTGGCTCACGCCTATAATCCCAGCACTCCGGGAGGCCAAGCGGGTGGACTGCCTGAGCTCAGAAGTTCGAGACCAGCCTGCGCAACAGCGAGATCTTGTCTCCAAAAAATACAGACAGGTGTTGTGGCAGGCGCCTGTAGTCCCAGCTACTTGGGAGGCTGAGGGAAGACAACTGCTTGACCCCAAGAGTTGGAGGTTGCTGTGATCTATGACGCCACATCACTCTACCCCGGGTGACCAACTGAGACTCTGTCTCAAAAAAAAAAGGAGTAAGATAAAACAGTAATGTAACCAATTCCCTAAAAACACTATCGTATTGGCTAGAGCCAAAACAAAACCCAGTGAAGTAAAATCTGAGTTGAAACCAAAGCTCATAATAAGAAAGTGGTTTAAGGGAAAGCATTCTGCAAGAACAAGGAAGGACGAGAACCAAGCACTGGGTAGAAATTCGACTGGGCAGAAGGAAGGCCAGCATGCCCAGCAAGTGGAAGGACATGGGGAGATGAGCGGGAGGAGGGCATGGAGCTCCAGGAAGGAGTCTGGGTGTAATTCAAGCATCACTGGAGGCCACGGGATAGCTCTGAGCAGCAGGGTGAATCATCTAATTTCTGCTTTAAGTAAATACATCTTTTTGACTTCTCTGTGGGAGGGTGGCTGAATTAGGGAAAGACAAAACTAAGACCAGTTAGGAAGAAGCAGTTGCTGATCCTGGCAAGAATCACGTTAGGAGAATTAGAGACAGGCATTCAGAATACAGCCAAGTGGTAGACAGGCTGGACAGGAGACACGAGGAAGGAGGGGACAAAGGGAGACTGGTGGGCTCATGCCCTGAGCCACGGGGTGCTGATGGCCTGACTGAGAGGGGGATGTGGAATGGAGGGTTTGGTGAGGAATGAAACTCACAGTTGGGTTTTGGTCATGCTAAGTTTGAAGTGTTTATTCAAACATCCCAGGGGAGACACTGACTTGGCAACTGGTATGTAGGTCTAGAGTGCTGAGGAGCTTTGGGGTGAACACACACACTCTACATAATGTTCACAGCGAAGAGAAGTGGGCAGAGAACTCCTGGGCACGTCAGTACTTTCTGAGGGGAAAACTGGAGCAAATGAAACACAGAAGAAAACCAGGGCAGTGTGGAATCCCACAAACCCAGTGAAGAAAGGATTCCAAGGAGGTCAAACATATCAAAAGCTGCAGAAAGGATGAGTAAGATCAAAACTTAGATTTAATCTTTGGACTTTGCAAGGTACAGTCCCTGTGTTATCAATGGTGACCAGAGTCTTCTCAACAGAGTGGCAGAAACAAAAGCCCCGCTGGAGTGACTGGCACCAGCAGAGAGCGGGGACAGGTCGTGTGAGGGGTTCTGCTGAGGTGGGGAGTACGAAGAGCAGCATCCAATTCAGTTTCTCGTACAATGTCTCATTCAACAACCAACACGGAAACCTGTGATCAAATGGGAGGGTTTTTCCCACACACACACACCACCGAGTGATCCTGCAGTGGGCACCAGCTGGGTGTCCCCACACGTAATTCTGACACTGTCTATCTACCTGCAGATAGTTTTACATCCCCCAGGCTGACAGCCCAGTCCCACAAGAACGTCCTCCACCTCTAATCCACGTTTCTAAGCTTTTCTAAGGAGCTTACTGAGGTCTGCAGAACCTTCGCGGTGAATTCCTTGGGGACTGTTTTTCTTTTCCTATAGTTTCCCTCAATGAAGCAGACCCTTTAATAGCTTCTGTCACTTTGTTCTCAAGATCACAGTTAGGGTGGAATGGAACATGTCTGAACATCACTGATTTCCACCTCTATAATCCTTAATCACGTTTAACAATTTTCATTTCCAGATCAATCACTTGAAACGGCCTCTTACTGGCAACATTGGCAGATTTGGCACAGTTAGGGGCATGATGAACAAAACAACACGAGATTAAGTCAAGCACAAGAGAAATCGACGTGCTCGTGAGACACAATAAACACAAGACCACGTGTAGGTGGCTGCCAGCATCACACGGCATATTGCTTCATGGTAAACTTTTTAATAAATAGAAGTATACTTTAAAATAACAATAAATAGCATAGTAATACAAACCATCTGATTCGTTTCACTCACCAATCATACATATGATATACTCAATTATCACAAGTATTATGTACCACACATAATTGCATGTGCCATACTTTTATAAGACTAGCAGCACCACAAACACGTAACATGTTGCTTTAGGACGCTGTATCAGCTACATCACTAGGGGACAGGAATTTTTCAGCTCCATAATCATCTTATGACAACACCATTGTGTATCCACTGTTGATTGCAATGTCATCATGTGTCACATGACTGTATTTGACTTTTTAGGGGCATATGTTATTTTAGTAAATATCAAAAAAATAAATAAATATATTCCCATCAGCAGATGAGTAATGTGCTTCTTTCCATAAGGCTGTCCCAAATCCATTCTGTCCTGGGAAAACCTTGCCCCTGTACACCAAGACATAGTAGTCATGAAAAAATTAGAAACACAGAGATTAAGCCATTAAAAGAAAAAGGTTATCATGCCTACTTCCCTATAGAAAAATGAACATTAATTAATGAGAAAAAAATCTACAATACAAAATGGAAAGCTCCTCTAGAAAGCCATTTCTATCCAGGATCTCATAACTTTTCCAATAGCCACACTCAACATCCTCATTTATGCTAACCGCACATTCTCCATTAAGACATGGAGAAAAACTCTCTCCAGATTCAAAACACATGAGCTCCACTAAAAGGCAGAAACACTGTACAGAAGCTTCATGGCAGAACACAGAAGAAAATCGTACCTGGGCAGGAGAATTCTGAGCCAAAGGATATCGCCTGGCATTCTTCAAACTCTGCCGCTGAGCAATGAAACGGATCAGATGGTTTGTCTCTGGAGAGCCCCGAGCACCAACTGCGGACCTTCGTCTGTTTTTTTTAAGCGAGGACGGTGACCTTCCTGTAATGAAACACTCTTATAAACTGGAACAAACCAAGGCAGTCACCACTAATCGTGCCTCATACTCATGACGCACCAGCCTCGGAGAGAAAACACGATCAACCCATACTTTAGAAATCTAAGTAGAGAATTACTGGCAAAGCTGTTCATACATCATCAGTTGGACGTGGATCCTTGTTTTACCCACTGATTTAGCCAACAATGCCTGGTATTTAAAAGGAATTCATTAGTTATTGAATAAACACACGAATACGTTTTAGTTACTAGTGTTCTTGGTCCTGTTTTCTGCACACAGAGGTGGGTAATGGCTTGCTTTTGACTAATCATTTCTCTTTTTCCAAATTAGTCAGTCTTGGAGCCCCAGTGACTAAAAGATCTCCACCTAGGCACTCTCATATTCTTAATTCTTGAAAATAATTCTGTTTCTCTTAGATATCTACCTACCTTCAGCATTACCCCGAATTTGGGCCATAAGCCTCAGCACACAGAATGAATCCAGCTTTTTAAAGGTCTAAGGGGCTACTGTTCTTGAGCAGGAAAGACAGAACAGTGTGCCACTGTGTCCTCATCTCATTCATGTCTTAACCTAGTCTAGTTTCCTATGACTCTGAAGTCCTCCCTGAGTTTCCATTTCTATATGCTGCTCTCTAAGACAGAGATCCCCAACCTTTTTTTGGCACCAGGGACTGGTTTCATTCATGGAAGACAATTTTTCCATGGACCACAGATAGGACAAGAGGTAGAGTTAAGGTGGTGACGCTATGTCGCCAGGTTCCTACAGGCCACAGACTGGTATGAGTCCACAGCTCAGAGGTGGGGACCACAGCTCTAAGCCAATTCCATTCCCATACAGTAGTTCTTTCTTCTCCACTGATGTCAGACTTCACAGATGAATTCCATTTTTACTGCTTAGAGGAGATTAGCCAGAGTCCATTTCTCTGTTTGTGATTTTTGAAGAAGGGACACGCCAATCTTTCCATCTTATATTTTCTTAACTGCTCTTAAACTTCCTTATTTTTACCATATGTGAAAATAAAACGCATTACTGTTCATACTATACATCCACTCATATCCCATGTGTCAGATCAAAAAGTGATTCACACACCATTCTTGTCCAGTATGGGCATAAAGCATGACTCTGACTTAGGGACATTTTCACACTTGGTGACCTGAGACCCCGTTATTTCCTGCTATACTAGATGCGCTGCGCATGTGCACAGAAGCCTCCCTGAAAGAGCAAGTTTGCAAAGTCGATCAACTTAGATACCTAAAGTAATACATATCCTCAAACAAAGCTGAGTTTCGCTAGTTACTTTTAAACTTCAAAATCACTGCAATAGAATGACAACGTCTCTTACCCGAAGTGCTCTTGACAAAACTTTCAGGTGTAATTCCCAATTGCTCTACAGTCACCGTGGAAAAGTTCAAAGGCGATTTGAAAGTATCCGGTGTGCAAAGATTAGGAGGAACTTCTGCCACACACTCACGAGGAGTCACTATATTCCCAGTTTCCAAAATGAAGGAGGCATTTTCTGAAAGAGAATCATGTTATACGGGCTAAATAAACTTCATTACCAAGACGAATGCCTAAACCTTAAGGCATTGGGGGGGGGGGAGGGGGACAAATCACCACGTACCAGCATCATTAACAGCAGACTCCTTGGTTTCAGAGGGCTTGTCTTTCGAATTGGCATCCATCTAAAAAAACAAAAAAGATAAACCAATCAGCAACATTAATGTGATTCGATCAAGAACCGAACCCAAGACTGAATTCTAATACAATCTATACTGGCATGAAAGCACATGTTAAGAGAAAATTTTGGAAGCCCAATTGAAAGAGAAGGAAATGGAGGGGACTTCTGTTCAAGCTAAAACAAAGCCAGGGCTTTTCAATCTTAGGGAACATCTGAACGACCGGGATACCCGGTTGAAGATGAAGCTGAGAGCATTTCCGGAAGTTGTAACTCGGCAGGTGTGCACGGAGCCCAAGAGGACACTCACTGCTCCGTGGTGCAGGCGAAGTAGGACAAACCCCCAGGAAGCACCCCGGAGAGACGGCACCCCGGTCCCACCCAGTCTGAACCCCGACACAGGACACTCGCCCACCTCTCACGGCCCGCACTCCGCGGCCCTCCCGACGCCTGCGTTTGCTGGAAGCTCCGCATCCAGCCTTCCAGCCCCCGGCTCTCCGTTCCGGCAGGGTTCCCTGGACCAAGACCCTGCCACCCTCCTGGCCAGAAGCCGGGGCCAACCTCCCCGCCGGGCTCGCCCAGCGGCCGCCGCCGCCGCCAACCCACAGCCCCCGCCGTCCAAACCAAGCCGCGGTCGATTCAAACCCGGCTCCGCCCCTCGGCGCGGCGTTATCCTCGAACCTCTACGCCGCCACCGCCCCCCTGGGGTCCTAGGGGGCTCTGTGCACTCCCAGGCCCCTCTCCTCGCTGTCTCAGGCACAGAAATTGCTCCCTGGGTTTGGGGAAAACCCCTGCTAGCTGCGTTCAACCCCACTGACCAGAGCCACTGGCTGCTAATGTGGGACTGCGGGGACTACTTTTCGTGAGAGTCTCGCGGAGTAACCCTTCAGTTATCCATTAGCTCCGCCCCCAGCCTTTCAATTGGATGCTGAAAACTTCGAAAAGAACCACTGGACCAATCGTGACAGCACGACGACTGGCTCTTACCCAGTCAGTCAGTCCCTACAGCTGCCGTTTCTTCGGTAGGTAGAGTGGGCGGGGCTAAAGTAGGGGAGGAGTTGACTGGTGAGTGAGTCTCGTCTAGCGCTCCACCTCCTTTCCTCAAACCCCGCCTTCGTATGCAGATGAGCGCCCCCAAGAATTGATATGCGCCTGCTCAGTAGCGCTTGGCGCCGAGGCTCCGCTTCAGGTTCTGCGCTGATTGGTCGACACCCCTTCCCGTCTCCTAGCCTGCAGCCTTTCTTCCCTCCCACCGTCCCGACAGTGTTAGTTAGAGCCCACCCAACGCGGGATGTTGATTGGCTGAGTTCTGACCGGCGCCGCGAGTTGATTGGTGAGTCGTCAGTGTCAGTCTCGGAGAGGTGGGGGAAGGGCCCCAGGCTGGCTGAGGAGCCTAGGGGCGGGGTGGGAAGGAGGACCGGCCAACCCCGGGGTGTGGGACAGAGTGCGTGTGTGTGGTGTGTCCATAAGAGAAGGAAGGTGGCGAAGGGAGGAGATCCCGAGTGGGTGGAGGGAGGGGAAGGGAGGGAGGAGAAAAGGGTGGGAGGAGGGCAAGGTGGGAGGGTGGAGGCTCACTCAGGACCCAGCGGGGGCAGCGCGATGAGGCGGGTGACCCTGTTCCTTAACGGCAGCCCCAAGAATGGAAAGGTAAGGGGGTCGGGAGGGGACGCGGCCGGCCAGCGGTCGGGGCTCGGGGGTAGCCGAGCGGGGACCCGGCTCGCAGGGCAGCGGCTGAAGTTGGGCAGAGGGGCTGGGAGGTGGGCGTGCGCTGGGGTCTGGGGCGCCCTGGGGGCAGCGTGGCGTCCCCGCGGCCTCCTCCCGACCCGCAGGGTTCCCCGTCCGAGCCGACCATTCAACTTCTGCGCTGCCCCGGGGGGGAGGGGGGCAGCACAGGTCAGGCTGACGCTCCCCGGATCCCGAATCCGGGCTGCGGGTGTTGGTGGTGGACGGAGGGCACTGAGGGCGTGGGAGGGCCGCTGTCACCTGAGCGCTCGGTGCTGGTGTTTTCTTTCCTCCTCTTGCCCCAAGACCCGGCTGCCCCCACCGCTGGCCGGGGAAGGCGCTCTGTCCACCTTGGTGCTGAGTAATGGTCTGCCCAGGAAGGTGTTTGTGACAACTAAAGCATGTGAGATTGGCCAGGTAGAAAGAATTAAATGACCAGTGGATAAGTAAAATGTTCTTCCATCCTAGGTCGAATAGAAAATTTAAAAAAATTGGGACTTCTTTCCTGGATGGTTCTCCTCCCTCTCTTTTAGGTGCCCCAATCCCCCAAGCCCTGCCGACGCCAAACTTCTGTACTGGTTTTATTATGTCGCCTTGTTTGGGTTCCTTAGAGGACTGTGACAGCAGACCAGCATGGACAGATTGGACAGTAGCCTTTGCTGTGTTAGGCCTCTGTTGAGGGTGTGGTGCGAAATATTTTTCCAACGTCGGAGCAAGCCAAAATGAATTCTGTTCCTTCCCAGCCACTTGCCCCACCCATGAAAGTTGTTCATCTACTTTGGAAAATTTTGACTGTTGAAGGCAGACATTGATTGTGTGGCTAAATGATACTCTGAAGTTACAGCCTTTAGAGTCCAAGTTAAAGGTAAACTGGCCTCACTCTATTATTTGCCAGAATGCTCCGCTTCCTGCACGTTCTGGAAACAAAATGTTTAAATAGAGTAATTGTACACTGGCATTAAAAATGGCTTTCCAACTATGCAGTTTTTGAGTAAACATGCTTCGAAAATGTGAACCACTCTGTGGTCTGTTGACTGTAATTTTGTGTTCTTCTAGTCTTAGAGATTTAATACTCATGCAAAAAACAGAATGGGATTTTTGAGTTTTCATGAATGCTGCCTCAAACATAAGTTCCACAAAGTTTACATTATTCCTCACCATTATTAACTTTTTCTAAGCCAGAATCTGAAACTTAGATTGTTACTGTGAGACTCAGTATATCCAAGGAAAGAATTTTAATATGTTCGCAGAAAAAAAACTCTGATTGACCATTTTATCCAACATATCTGCTATGTAACTCCAGGGAGACAGAATCTTTAGATCCAATCATAAATATTGGATCATAATATCCAATCATAAAACTATGCTCTAAATCTCTTCTGAATGCACTGAATTTTGTTGTTGTCAAAGATAAATTGAGATGCTCTTTCCATATTATTCTTAAAGCTTTGCCTGCGTTAGCTTTTTGGATTTAAATTTTACTTTAAAAATATTTTGCTGGAGAATCTCAGTGGATTGGGGAAAATGCATCTCAAATAATTAAAAATAAATGTTTATATTTATCAAGAACATAAAAATCCAAACTGTAGAATATTAAATTAAAAAAGAAGTGATGCTATAATCCTTACTGCTCAACTGTAGAACCTATTCCTAGCCAATGTTGGTGTTTCCTCTCCCTTCAGCTGATTAAACAATACTATAATTTCTATTTACTTGACAAACAGCAGAATAATACATTAACAGCCTTCATTTTTAGATATATAAAATAACTGTTTAGCCAGATTGGCATGATCATGACGTGAATTTTACTAAGAATGTGCAGGAAAAAAGTACCATTCAAATAGAGTTTGATATAAAAAAAGATGGAGACTTTACATCATTTGTATTAATCTGGATGGAGTCAAAGCACATTCTTCTTAGTAAAGTATCACAAGAATGGAAAAGCAACTATCCAAAGTACTCAATACTAATATGAAGCCAGTAGACAATCTGATGTGTGCCCACATAAGAGAAAAACTCAATTCAAGTTGGGGGTGGAGGGAATGAGGGAGGGGGGAGGAGAGAGGGGGATTGGTGTGCTCCCACTTAGTGGACACAGTGTAAGGGTATGTGGCACACCTCTCAGGTGTGAGACACAATACAGAAGGGACTCTACCTAACAAATGCAAACATTGTAACCTAGTTGTACCCCACATTAACCTGACCAAAAAAAGAAAGTATCTAGGATGTGATGATACGTAGAGTAAATTCACAGATACTGCTGATATTAGTAGGGTTTCTTGCTTGTATATGTAATAAAAGCTAAATTTCTTTTGAGTTGGATGAAAATAAATATACCATTCCTCAAAAAAAAAAAAAATTCAGTCATATTGACACACTTGACATGTTAAAGTGAGGTATTATATAAATGCTACGATTCATTGTGATTATTCAAATTCAAATAAGGCTGAGTTTATGTGTAAATGTTTTACTCTGGATAATGCAGAGTGTAATATGTAATGCAAATTATTTCTCTATAAAAGTTGGATGAATTTAGTATGGTAATTTTAATGAAATTATAACATTTTTTCATATGAACTATTATGTTAAACAAAAATAAAACATAACCGAGGTTCTTGCTCTGAAAAAAACAGAGTTTGATTTCTCATCCATCAGTTGGAATATCTGTTATCACTTAAATAATCTCCTTTACCTAGCTTCTATTTTTGTTTCCTGATGGTATGAGTAATTTCTGTTTCTTTTTTCAAATCAGTTTCCCTCTCATAGCTTACTTTTGTGGTTGCCAGACTGTGGGCCATGAAGCCTGAGAGTGTAGAGGCAACCAGTTGTTTCAGGGGACTATGTCATATGCTCCCTGTGAATTTTCTATATACTAAATAAATTTAAGTGTGAGTAGTAAATGTCTCAGATGTTGAAGAGTTAGAGATAAGCAGTCTCTAACTTCCAGGGGGAATGGCCAACCACAAATGATCCATTGGAGTTTAGGAAGAAATATTATACCTTTCACCGGGCGTTGTGGCCGGCACCTGTAGTCCCAGCTACTTGGGAGGCTGAGGCAAGAGAATCACCTAAGCCCAAGAGCTAGAGGTTGCTGTGAGCTGTGACACCATAACACTCTACCCAGGGTGATAGAGTGAGACTCTGTCTCTAAAAAAAAAAAAAAAAATTAGTGTCAAGAAATATTATACCTTTTTTTTATATACTTAAAAACTTAATATGAAAACTTGATTTTTCTGATCTAGAAAGGCACAGGTGCCTCCAGTCACTGAAAGTGTCAGCTGGGGTCCAGGCTTTGAGAAGGGAGGGCAGTGTCATGTGACTTGGCTGATAGTGACGTCACTGATGCGTTTGCTTTGACGTATTTTGTTACACACCTAGAAGCTCACAAGTGCCACTTTAAGATTCATACCCAGTTTTAACTACATTTACCTTCACCAAAATGCCAAGTGGCTTTCAAGGATTTCCTCCAAGAAACTGCAAGTTGAAGACTATTAATTGTGCAAGCACAAGTAAAGGAGGAAATGGCAGAAGGAGATTAAAAAAAGAATTGATCTCCTTGGATCTGAGAAGTCAGCCAGTCCCCAATTCTAAAGACCATTTGAAGTCCTACTTAATAAGTACTGTTAACAAATAACTATTAACAAATAACCTCTCCCTAAGTATACGTTGTTCTTTGAAATATTAGCCAGTGATAGGATGAGGTCATCCTACTTTCTAGCACATGAGGACAAATAGCTTC